ACAATTCAGTTACTATTTTTACGTTTTATTACGACACCTCACATTCCACACACACAGTTCACAAATAATTCGTTTGATGCGTTAGATGATTATACAGTATGTCGTTAAGCAATATGGGTATATAAAACGATGTGAAAAGACGTGAAAATACGTGGTTTAGCTGTAAAGACAAAAATACATATTCTTTAATATCAATAAAAGATTTACCACAACAGTCACTATGATGAATTCAATGCACGTGGGGAGGCTTAGTGCATAAATGTCTTAAAATATGAAATTGCTTAAATGACATGTCAGGAATTATATTGCCGTTAATTCATATGTTCGTAAACGTTGTATTTAAAACATTATTACTTTACACTTACAACTTGTGAGGGGGTATATGCGTTAATTAATGATCAATAGAATTCTATGAAATATAAAACAATGGCGGCGTTTGTTAATAAGGCGGTTCGTTACGTTGATCATAGTGCAACTTACAGTTCTAGGGCTTACTTCGTTTAATGCGTTACTCTTAATACAAGCGTTGTACTAATATTTCTGCCGTAACAACCCCTCCACCCCTTCCAAATTTTACAACTGTGAAACCCCGAAGAAATAAACTTGTTAAAAAACCTAACCTAGAGAATATTGAACAGATTGTGAAATTACGTGAAAGCAGGATAAGTGGGCGCTCTAATAAATATTGAATAGGAACTGAGTCTTGTGTCTTAACCCTCCATTATATACATAACATTCAATTACTGTACCTTTAATTGCAATAAACTACGTAGCATAGATAGGATAGAAAAAGTGTTTCAGAAAGTGTTGGACTTAAATGTGAACTTCGTGTGCTTACAAGAGACTTATTGGGATGCAGACTTACTGAACACAATTAATAAGAAATGGGAGGGTACAGTAATTGTAAATAATTATGACAATGTGTGTCCGTCCAGAGGTGTTGCAATCTTAATCCGGAAGAATGTTTTGAACTCTGTGTCTATTATATCAACTTCCTCAGATAATGAAGGTAGAATCTTGAAAGTGGACCTGGATATAGAGGATAGGAATTTGTCTTTATTTTCCATTTATGCCCCCAATCACTCTCTCGAGAGAATTGCTTTCTTACAAACCCTTGGGACATTCATTGATCCAGATAGAGAATGCATTTTGTGTGGGGACTACAATGAAGTCTTCTGTCACTATCTTGATAGAGGTAAAGGAATGACCACCGTTAGAGAAAGCTCCCTAGCCTTGCAAAACTTTGTCATTAGCCATGGCCTTGTCGATATTTTTAGGTACCGAAATCCTGATAAAAGGCTTTTTACTAGGAAATCCACTGTCCAGGGTCAAGTTAAGATGAGCCGTATAGATCATATTTTAATTTCTAGGTCCATGTTATGTAATGTAATAAATTCTAATATATTTCATACTACTTTTTCAGACCATAATATTGTGAAATTATGTATTGATTTTAATGATTGTGATAAAGGACCAGGAGTGTATATTTTAAATAACACCCTTTTACAAGATAGTAAGTACGTTAATATTATAAATAATTTAATTGATAATGAAAGCAAGAATGAATTGTTATATAGTAATCCACTTGTATGGTGGGATAACTTTAAGCATAAAGTTAAGCGAACTTCTCAGGATTACTCCCGTAAAATTAGCAAAGAGAAATCTGCAAATATCTATAAAATTCAAAATAGCTTACAAAGAGAGTACACAAAGGTTGCAAATAATCCGAAGCATAGTTCTAATCTTCTGACTGAACTGGAAAATCAACTTAAAGATTTCGAAAATGAGAAATGTCAGGGAGCAATCCTGAGAAGCAAAGCAATAAATGCCACTGAGGGGGACAAAAACACAAGCTATTTTCTTAAGTTGGAAAAACATCGACAGAATAAAAACTCCATTAAGGAATTGATAAATAGTGATGGGGAAATCTTGAATACAACATCTGATATACTTGATCAATGTACTAAATTTTATAAGCAGTTATATACCATAGACCCTACAGAAAATGATAATGATAATTATGTTCAGCATCTATGTAGCCTCATAAATAACAAGTTGACAGAGAGTGACAGAGAGCAGTGTGATCGGCCTATTACCCTGTCTGAACTTTCTGAAACCTTGGTAGGTATGAGGACTGGGAAGAGTCCAGGACTAGATAGTATCACAGTTGAGTTTTATCTTCGGTTTTGGGACAAAATAGGACCATTGTTTTTAAATGTTATTAATGTTATATTTTCTAATTGTAATCTCTCCAGGTCTATGGGCAGGGGCATCCTGACACTTATTTATAAAGAAAAGGGAGATAAAAAAGATTTGAAGAACTTTCGACCAATTTCTCTCCTCCAAAATGACTATAAATTGGTGTCGAGAGTCCTTGCTGGTAGACTTGGAAAGGTTATACATTCATTAGTCTCGCCTGAACAGACATGCGCAGTTCCTGGCCGCAGTATCTTTGATAACATTCATTCCATTAGAGACATTATTGATTATGCAACAAGTGAAGATGTTGAAGGTTATCTCTTATCCTTAGACATGTGGAAAGCCTACGATGTTTTATCCCATAAATATTTATTTCGTATTTTACAGAGTTTTGGATTTGGTTCTTATTTTACAACTTGGATAATTATTTTATATACAGGTATTTTTAGTACTGTCAAGTGCAATGGTCATTTGTCTTCCTTCTTCCCAATAACACGCAGTATAAGACAAGGTGACCCAATGAGCTCCATGTTGTATGTTTTGTGTGCACAACCCTTAAACAACCTTGTTAAATTATCTCCCCTTAAAGGCATCGATATAAAATTTAGTAATGTTACATCCTTGATATTTCAATATGCTGACGATACTAATTTTACCTTTTCAAATCTGAAGTCAGTAAACAATGTTTTTAAGATTATTGAACCTTATTGTAAAGCTTCTGGGGCTAGAGTTAATATAGAGAAAAGTCAGATCCTTCCTCTGGGAAAAGTCCGAAACGAAACCTTAAAGCTTGAAGTTCCACTCAAACAAGTTGATAATATTAAGATACTGGGTGTTTATTTAGGTAATAATGATGCATTGTGCAACGAATTAAACTGGGACCCCAAAATTACCAAAATTCAATGCATTCTTAACATGTGGAAGCTTAGAAATTTAACTCTTGTAGGTAAGGTTACTGTTATTCAATCTCTTCTACTTACACAATTATATCATTGTCTTACTGTTTTGTATATACCGAATGAGATAGCTAATAAGATTCAAACGTTATTTACTAATTTTATTTGGGACAATAAGCCACCTCTAATTAAGTACTCTAGTGTAATTAATAGCAAGTTAACTGGTGGTCTAGGCTTACCAGACATCAAAATGAAATCCTGTGCATTTGGTTTGAAAATATTGAAGAAAGTTTGTGATTCATCGTTTTATTCAATATGGAAGTCAGTATTGAACTATTTTACTCTAAAGCATGCTACGATCAAAGCTACAGACCTACTTAAAGTGATTGCTAGTAAGAACATCATAAAAGAGTTCCCTCCCTTCTACCAGCTTATGTTCAATTCTTGGGACTCGTTAATGAACGGTAGCCGATCTCCCTTAGATAATTTGTATGATGTATCACTACAGCCCTTGTTTGATAATCCATTAATAAGACATGAAGGCAAACCAATTAAGTGTAAATATTTTAGTAAATATGGAATTAATACAATCTATGACATTATTTATTATGTTATCCCAGGCTTTTTACCTATAGGTGTTATAGTAGACGATTTTATAGAATCGGAATGTACACTCGACTATATTGTAAAGTTGCTGGAAATTATCAAATCTGCTATCCCTCACGATTGGGTACATATTATTGAAACGGAAGAGTATACTGCCAAATCTGCACCAGAGCCCCGCTGTATAATCAATCGTGAGGAACTCAAATTTGACAATTTCACATCTAAGACCTTATATGGTATACTAATTAAGAATAAGTGCACAGAACCGATTGGTTTTTTAAAGTGGAATACTATTTTTAAGAGTGTTAATTGGCCAATTGTCTGCATAAATACACATGAATCTCTTAAAGATGCTAAACAAATTGACCTCGATTATAAAATCCTGCATAATATTATATGGACAAGATCTAAACTATTAATGATTGGTAAAATTAATGATGATATCTGTCAGATATGTAATGAGGAATCAGAGGATCTAAATCATTTGTTATTTTCCTGTCTAGATCTCTCCCTCCTCCTTCATCTTTTGAACCTTTTGTTGTCGGATATTCTATCCAGAACTGTAACAGACGATGAATTACAATTATATATTTGTCTAGGCTTACAGACAAGAATTAAGGGTCAACCATTTAGGCTATGTAACATAATTTTAAGTGTAGCCCGTAAAACAATATTTCATAGAAGGCATATTGTAACAAACAATCCCAGATCCAATGTAGATATTATAAAATTATTTAAATACAACTTACGCCAAAGTTTATATTTCATTAAGTATTTCTATGGAAAAACAAAAAGAAATTTTATAAAAGACTTTGTGTCACCATCATGTCTAATCCTACTGGAAATAGATGGTTCGATTAGTTTAGATTTTTAATTACATATATAGATATATATACATGTCTCAGTTAAAATGCTCCATCTGAGCACTACATATTTCCATGTTAAAGATTTTGTTTTGAAAGTATCTTCACCTAAACTTTAGATTGATTTCGATTTCGAAATCTAAGGCTCTGGTATTTAGATACATTTCACAATATTAGTATTTTTTAAAAAAAAAAGATTCTTTTTATCTTTCAT